ACTACTACTACCACCACCACCACAACCACTACTACTATTACTACTACGGCCACCATAACCACTGCTACCACTACTACTACTACTACTACTACTACTACTACTCCTACTACAGCTACTACTCCCACTGCCAACACTACTACTACAGATTGAGTGATATATCATTTGCCACCTTCAAGGCTCCCTTGTGTCTCTCTGTAGACAGAGGAAGATGAACATTGACCCTCTTTCCCTGGGCAGTGAGGATTGTGGGGAGTGAATGCAGGTCCTAACTTAATCAGAGCTACAACTGTATTGGGAACCAGGCTTCCAGCGTATCTAGTCAGGTCAACTTAAGTAATCACCCCGGAAGACTAGCACAGAAGGCAGGGAGTACAGCCTCTTCCCTCGGGCCTTGTGTCTTTTCCTCTAAGTTTCTTTAGGTCAGCCTGTTCCAGAGAGCCAGGGCAGGGGAAGGTTTTGGGGTCATCTCTGCATCTGGGCGTAGAGCCGTGTGCTTTGGACTCGCCATACCCCACAGGTGTGGCAAAGGGGAAAGGAAGGGGAGAGCTTTTAGGTTCATGACTGGGCAGCCAATGGTGAGATATTTGTAGGGAGACAGATTTGCATCCTGAGCCTGGCATTTATTATCCTTGTGATTTTTTTTGAGCCTGTTTCCACATCTGTAAAATGGGAGTGATAATGCCTGTACTACCTACTTCCCAGGATGTTCATGAAGAAAGTGCTTTGTACGCCATAAAATGTTATACAGACTGATAGTGTTAAAATAATAATTGTAGTTAGCATCTCTTAATACTTTAAGGTTTGCAAAGCAACTTCATGTATGTCATCAATCTGATCCTTGAAACAGCCCTACGAGGCAGGTGCTATTATTATCCCTACTTCATAGATGGGCAAAGTGAGGTTAAGTGACTTAGCTGGGGGTGGAGGGGAGGGCATCACACAGCTAGAAGTGTCTGAGACAGGATTTGAACCTCAGGCTTCTGCTTCCAAGCTAAGCACTATCCACTATACCATCTAGTGGCCCAGTGTGAGAGATATAATTTTTTTTGCTCTGGGACTTCTGAAACTGGCTTCATGAAAAAATAGGAGCGTTCAACTTGATGTAAACCTGCCACCTAACTGCTTTACTTGATGTTACTTATTTGACCCTGACAAGTCACTGTGAAGTAGATAGTGCATATTATCGTGTCCTCATGATAGATGGGGAAACTGAGGCTCAGAAAGGGTCCTCTCAGCTCTGACATTCTGAGTTCCAAGGGCCCTGCCAGCTCTGACATTCTGGGTTCTAAGAGCTGTCTTAGCTCTGACATTCTAGTATTCTGACCCAGCATCTAAGAACTGAGCATTGTATTTGGAAAATCTAGGTGATCTTTCTAACTGTATCAAGCTAAAAAATATATATATATATATATACACATATATATATACATATATGTGTATATTATATACATGTGTGCATATATGTGTATACACACATAATGTGTGTGTGTGTGTGTGTGTGTGTGTGTGTGTGTGTATCTCACCTCCTTCTATGGTTTTGCCAGACTCTCCTTGCCCAGTTTTTTTAGAATTTGCCTTTCAGGTCTGAAAGATTCTGGCCCAAAGGCAGGTGTTTTGAGTGCCCCATCTTTGGATAGACCTTGGTTTGTGATACCCTGGGTTGGGGGCAGGGGGAGAAGGGGGAGTTAGAGAGCACAGAGATGATCACAGGGTATATTTCACTGATGTTCCCAGTACACCTACTTTTAAAAAACCTTTTGTGCTTTTTTTCACTATTCAAACTGCAGTCCAGTTAGGATGGACCGATAGGGTAAGTATAAGCACGTACTGAACATTGTGTCCCGTTCAGCTTCTCAGCCCTTCAAAATCACTGATGATCCATGGTGTTTCTGGTCATTAAGCCCTGCATGATGGAACCCCTATGATTGGCCCGGCATTGTGGGTGAATCTGGGAGCCATGAAGCATGAGGGCTGCCCTCACAGATCTTCCTTCCTCCTCCTCTTCCTCTTCTTCCTCCTCTCCCCTTCCCCACTCCCAGAGCTGCTGAAGCTTTAAGAAAAAAGAGAGAAAATCGGAAGAAATGGAAGCGTTATCTCCTAATTGGCCTGGCCACTGTTGGAGGTGGGACAGCAATAGGTAAGGACTACTCATGGCTTTGAGGCATGGTCCAGAAACTCCTTAATCTAATCAGAGCTGCCAAGAAGGAAAAGATTGCCTAGAATTTGAAATGAAAGGGCAGGTTGAAATTTGGCTGGCCTTGTGACCTAGAACCCCAGCGACCTCACTCCCCCGGGCTCATAACCATAGATCCACCTCTGCTTGGGCCCCTTGGCCTCAAACCCTACCCCTACTCCCAGCCAAGTGGGTGCCAGGGCTGAGTCTTTCTAACTCAGATTCTTCCCCTTTAAAAAAAAAAAAACTTTTGTTTTCATTTTGCATTTTAAATTTTATTTTATTTTCCAATTAACAAGCATTTCTTTTCTCTCCCTCTAACCTTCCAATTGAAAACAAAAGAAAGGAAAGGAAAACCTTTGTAATAAATATGCATAGTCAAGCAAAATAAATTCCCAAATTGTCTGTCTGACTCTCTCTGTATACATATACACAGGTATGTATGTGCACGTGTAGACATACGCACATATATACGTGTGTGTACATACATACACACACAATTTCCCTCCTCACCCCACCCCAAACCTCCAGTCCATTACCTCTCTGTCAGGAGGTGGATAGCAGGTTTTGGATAGCAGGTTTCATCCTGGCTCCTCTGGAATTATGATTGGTCATTGCATTGATCAGGGTTCCTAAGTCTTTCAAAGTTGTTTGTATTTTGTTGTTGTTATATATTTTTGTTGTTTTGTATCAGTATTATTATTGTATAAATTGTTCTCCTGGTTCTGCTCACTTCACTTTGCATCAGTTCAGATGGGTCTTCCCAGGTTTTTTTCACAGCCTCCCCCTTCATCATTTCTTTCAGCACAATAGTATTCTACCGTATCCTTCTGCTACAGCTCATTCAGCCATTCCCCAGTTGATGGGCATCCCCTCAGTTTCCAATTCTTTGCCACCACAAAAGAGCTGCTATCAATATTTTTATGCATATAGGTCATTTTCTTCTTTTTTTGATCTCTTTGGGATACAGACCTCATAGCAATAAGAATGCCCAGTGGAGTAATGTTTTGTCCTGACCCTCTTTTCTACTTCCTCTACAATTATCCTGGTTCATATCCTCATACTTCTCAACCAGGCTATTATAATAGCCTCTTTATCAGTTTCATATTTTCAAATGAATGAATGAAAAAGCATTTATTTAGCATTTAGTGTGAGCTAAGTCCAAGGTTGAGGAAAACTAGATGGCTCAGTACTGAGCCTGGAGTTTGAAAGATTTGAGTTCACATCTAGCTTAAGACACTTACTAGCTGTGTGACCCTGAGCAAGTCACTTAACCTCTGTTTGCCTCACTTTTCTCATCTGTAAAATGAGGATAATAATAGCCCCTACCTCCCAGGGTTGTTGTGAGTATCAAACAAGATCATATTTGTAAAACACTTGGCACAGAGCCTGGTACATAGTAAGTGCTATATAAATGCTATCATCATCATCATCATCATCATCATCATCATCATCATCATCATTATTGTTATCATCATCATCATTATCATATGCAACATCAGACAGTCCCTGACTTCAGGGCACTAACAATCTATAAAGGGGGGTTGTGGCCCAGGATGGAACTCTGTTGTGGAAAGTTACTGGGAAGGTGGATGGCGGCTCCACGGTGAATCCTTTCCTGTTTTCCTTGCAGGGGTGACAGGTGGTCTGGCTGCCCCCTTCATGGCTGCTGGAGCAGCTGCTATCATTGGCACCACGGGCGCAGCTGCTTTGGGCTCTGTGGCAGGCATTGCGGTCATCACCTCCCTCTTTGGAGCTGCAGGAGCTGGTCTGACAGGTAGGATTGGAAAATGGATCTCACGTCCTAACTACAGCTGGTCTTTCTGTAGTGGTTTATGATCAGAGCATGTCCCCTCCCAAGAGCCCCACTAAGTACATTAAGGACTGAGTAGAAAAGGTCAGCGTGTCCATTTCGTAGATGAGAAAACTGAGCTTCTGAGAGAGGAGGTGACTTGACCCCAAGGTTTTAGAGATGCTAATGAAAAAAATAAATAGGTGGTGCAGAGGATAGAGGACTGGGCCTATAGTCAGGAAGACCTGAGTTCAAATCCAGTCTCCGACACTTGCTAGCTGCATGACCCTGAGTAAGTCACTTAACCTCTGTCAGCCTCAATTTCATCATCTGTAAAATGGGGTTAATAAAAGCACCTACCTCCCAAAGTTGTAAGAATTGAGATAGTTATAAATTGCTTTGCAAACCTTAGAGGAGGATGACTATGATTGCTATCCCACAATACCTCTAGCATGTTCTGTAGCTACATGTGGCCCTCTCCTCAGGCTATAACAAGGGAATCTCCAAGGAAGGGCAGACAGCCATGTGGGCAGGAAGCTACATTCCTTCAGGGCCAGCTGTTGGCAACTATGAAGTTTCCCTCTAGGCCACAAGATGGCACTAGGCCATTCTATTGGGGTTTTTTTTGTTGCTGTTAATTGTTTAAAATGCTGGTCATTCTAAAATGAATCATACAGGCTCACTGCTTTCAAGCTCACACCCCAATCACAAGATCTCTTGTCATCAAATGCCAGTTCAGATAAATTTATGTGGTATAGTGGAAAGAATGCTGATTTTGAGTCAAGAGGCCAGGGTTCAAAGCCCATCTCTGCCATTTACTACCAGAATAACCCTGGACAAATCACTTAACCTCTCTGGGGCTCAGATTCCTCACTTTTAAAATGAGTAAGTTGGACCAGATGATCTTTAAGGCCCCTTCCAGCTTTCAAACTTTGAGAGTATGACAGTGCAGCATTACAAGACCAAATATGATTCATGGCCCATTGTCCCTATTGCTTAAATGGAGTCACCGTTGGAAGGCAGGAGGCAGGGAAACCCTGGGAACCAGAAGCTTATGCTAGTTGTCTCTGGCTAACTGCGTGCCTGTCTCTCGGGCCTGCCATGATCCTCACAATCTCTACAGATCCAGACTTAAATATCAAACTTCAGGGAGTCCCAAGCAGGGGTGTGCTGGTAAATGTTTAACAACCATCTCTCTAGGGAAAAAAAAGGACTCAGGACACACTTAGAAGTTTAATCTGAATTATTGCCATTTTCTTCATCACTTTCTTAAGTCTAGGCGATCAAAAAAATGATAAATCAAGCCCTGATTTTTTCTAGGTGTAAATGCTCACGTTGAAAATTTAACAACTGAAAAAAAGAAAAAGAGAATTTAACAGTTGGCTCTCTATCCTGGTGGCTGGCTTCAACACCTGGATGCTATACTCAGATGCGCCCTCACTCTCATTTTCATTCCAGATCCTAGCCAGGGATCCACACCCAAACACAACCTCCTCACTCTGAAAGCTACTGCTCTCCCTCCCATTCTCTCTCTATGTTCTCAGTTCTCTATAGGCACCATCACAAGGACTCTGTGGCTGGGTCACCTGCATCCTGGCCAAAGATGCCCAGTCACCAGCATCAAAGAAAGATGTTGATACTGACTCCGTAGCCTGGAGGGTTATGTAAGCACATGGTTCCACTGCTTTCCAGGCACAGCTGTCTGTTTTCACCTTTGGCGTACTTATGGTCTCATTAATATTGTTCATTAACCACAGTTAGGCAGTGTAGAGAATGCTGGGCCTGGAGTTTGGAAGACTTGAGTTCAAATCCCACCTCAGACACATACTAGCTGTATGACTCTGGGCAAGTAACTGAACTTCTGTCTGCCTCAGTTTCCTCAACTGTAAACGAGTAGAATAATGATACCTTCCTCCCAGAATTATTGTGAGGATCAGATGAGATAATATTTGTAAAGTGCTTAGCACAGTGCCTGGTATGTAGTAGGTGGTATATAAATGCTTATTCCCTTATTTCCCTTTCATCCCCCACCACCTGGTAGATAAGAATTCAGGAAAGGCCTGAGCAGAAAAAGTGTGCAGGTCAGAGTAGCAGGGACCAGGTCTTAACCAGCCGCCAGATGCCATGGTGACCCGTAAAGAGCTCCATTCTTATTGTCCGAAAGAAGTGTTAGGTTCACAGCTGTAAAACTTCCTTATCCATCCCTTGGACTTCTTTCCAAGCACGGCTCTGGCACCATCTCCTACATGAAGCCCTTCTGGATTACTTTTCCACCCCCGCTCCCCCTACCTCTCACCCTTATCCCCCAGTTATTAGCACTCTCTTCCCAGAATAGCTTTGTATCATGGTTTATTTATGTATACATTGTATTCCTCTTCCCAACCCCTAAGAAGAATGTAAGCCTCTTGAGGGCAGGGATGTTTTGGTTTGTTTGTTTTATCAAGTTATAGGAGTAATAATATGCACATGGACCTTCTCCTAGTTGCCTAAAAAATTAATTTCAACATGTCTCCCTTCCCCCCATGCAGTTAGAGCTGTGTCCAGCTTTTTTATCATTAGAAATATAGAAAAAACATTAATTAAGTGCTTATTGTATACCACCACTGTGCTAAGTCCTGGGAATACAAATTTGAACAACCAAGACAGTCCCTACCCTCAGGAAGCTTACATTCTCCTAAGAGAAGATACCACCTAAAAGGAAGCTGGCCAGGGAGGAAGGCACAGAACATACAGGGATGTGGCTGGAAATGTCCTGGAAGATTAGAGTTGATTTGACTTGACAAGAGATTTATTAGCAAGAGCCCAAAATGCTATATTTAATGACCTCCTAGCCACCAGGGAGATACTTTCAGGGGACAAGAGTCATTGACCAGGGCAGCTAGGTAGCACAGTGGATAGGACACCAGCCCTGGAGTCAGGAGGAACTGAGTTCAAATCTGGCCTCAGACATGTGATACTCACTAGCTGTGTGACCCTGGGCAAATCATTTAACCTCATTGCCTAGAATAAATAAATAAATACATACGTACATAAATAGATAGATAGATCAATAAATAAAAGAGTCATTGACCTAAGTTCAAAAATGACTTGTGATCCTAGACAAATCATTTAATTTTTCTGAGAGTCAGTTTCCTCATCTGTAAAATGAGAGGGTTGGTACAATTCCAGATGACTAATGATGAAGCATACTGCCTACCTCCTGATGAGAGATGAAAGATGAAGCGTACATAATGAGACATGTATTTGTACGTATGGGGCAGATAGGTGGCACCATAGTGCATAGAGTGCTGGCCCTGGAGTCAGAAAGACCTGAATTCAAATCCGGCCTCAGACACTTCCTAGCGGTGTGACCCTGGGCAAGTCACTTCACCCTGTTTGCCTCAGTTTCCTCATCTGTAAAATGAGTTGGAGAAGGAAATGGCAAACCACTCTGGTATCTTTGTCAAGAAAACCCCAAATGGGATCACAAAGTGTTAGACATGACTAAAAAAACCTAAACATATATATGTATATATCCATTTATGTGTGTATATATGTGCATACATATACTCACATATTTATATATGTCTTTTGGTGGTGGTTACACATATACATATATATGCATTTTGGACATGGTCAATTCAGAAATTGGAGTCAGCTAGATGGCGCCATAGTGCATAGAGCGCTGGGCCTGATGTCAGGAAGACCTGAGTTCAAATCCGGCCTCAGACGCTTACTAGCTGTGTGACCCTGGGCAAGTCACTTTATCTCTTAGTGCCTTAATCGACTGTAAAAAGACATGGCAAACCACTCCAGTATCTTTGCCAAGAAAGCCCCACAGGCAGTATGGTCCACAGGGTCCTGAACAGTAGAACACAACTGAACAACAGCAACAATGCAGAAATTTGTTTTGCTTGACTGTGCATGTTGTAACAGGGATTCTATTTTGCTTTCATCCTCAGATCAAGGGGGAAGGAGTAGGAGAGAGAAAAGATAAATTTTTAATCATTAAAAAAAATAAAACATGATTGAAAAAAATAAAATGAGACATTTGGACTACTCAATGTCTTCTAAGGTCCTTCCAGCTCTAAATCCGTGCTCCTCTGGTCTTTAGGCTACAAGATGAAGAAGCGGGTGGGAGCCATAGAAGAATTTGAATTCTTGCCCTTAAGGGACGGGAAACAGCTTCACATAACTATCGCCATCACTGGCTGGCTCTGTTCCGGTAAATACGGTAAGAACGGGGGTGGGCAAAGATGTGGAACTATAATTTGCGTGGCCAAGTAGTGAGTCAGAGCACGTTTGGCATGTACTGTATTCTGTCCTGGATATCACACTTGCCCGCATACGGGGTTGGCTCTGTGGTTTAATCAGCGTGGCCCTTCCCTCCCCTCCCCTCCGTCCATGCCCTCATCCTATGCCAGTCTCACCCATCTCTTCCTGCAAATCCCCCATACAGTAGTGGTTCTTAATATGGTCTCTGCAAACCTGTTTTCAAAATATTTTGGTAAGTGTATTTCAATATAATTAGCTTCCTTTGTAGTCCTATGTATTTTATTTTATTTATACATTTAAAAACCTTATTCTGAAAAGGGAACCATGGGCTTCACAAGATTAGCAAAGGTGCCCAATACACACACACACACACACACACACACACACACACACACACACATTGCAATAGATAGAGCATTGGATGTGGAGTCAGGAAGTCAGGCACTAACTAGCTGTGTGATCCTGGGCAAGTCACTCTCTCGGCCACAAGTTCTGAGTTTAAGAGTCTATTCTACCATGAATTGGCTTTATTCAGTTCAATACAACAGGTATTTATTAAGTGGCTACCAGGATCCAGGTATTAGGCGAGGAGCACAAAGACTCAAAAAAAGAAAACTCCTCAAGTAGCTTACAATCTACTGAGGGGACCCAACATGGAAACATAAGAATATACATGATTGTGTCAAGGAAGACTGTTAACAGAATTTTACTGGACTGGTCTCTAAACCTGAGAATGGCGGGAGACAAAACAGGTCAGAGATGGGTATGTCAGGAATCACTTGCTAGCTCTGTGATGCTGGGAAGTCACTTAACCTCTGTCAGCGTCAATTTCCTCATCTGTAAAATGGAAATAATAATAGCACCTACCTCCTGGGGTTTTTGTGATGATCAGATGAGATAATATTTGTGAAGCACCTTGCAAACCTAGAGAAATGCTGGCTATTGTTGTTACATCAAACCATTAATGACTGCTTTGAGTCTGGCCATTCAATCATTCTTAAATTCATCTAACTGTATTGTCATCTAGCCCACACCCTGCCATCTCTTCCACGAGAATAATGAGAAGCTTTGTCAAATGCTTTGCTAAAATCTAGGTTAAATAGCTAATATGGACATATATTTTGCATGACTTTCCACATGTTATTGATATCATATTGCTTACCTTCTCAAGGGGTAACAGGGGGCAGGAGAGTGGAAGAGAATTTGGAACTCAAATTTTTTTAAAATTTATGTTAAAAATTTTAAATGTAATTGGAAAATATTTAACAAAACAAATTGAAAAATATTTTTTTAATCTAGGTTAAACTCTTTCTATGGAAATCTCCTTATCTGCTAGTCCAGTAACTATTTTTCTTAAAAAATGAGGTTAATTGGACATTACTTGGTTTTTTAAAAATGTTTTTTTGTTTTTACATCAGTCATTCTCCACAAACCTCCCAGTAAATCAGCCAGTCCATTAACAAGCCAATACCTTCTTAGCAGTCCTTGTTAGTTATGCTTCATCCCCAGCCAGGAGCCCATTATGTCTATATCTTAGGCTATGACTCAGAAATCCCAATCCCATTCTCTGACACCATCTCCTTAGCCAGCTGTTCACTTCCAGATTCTGTTTTTTTCTCCTCCAGAGCCCTCACCTCAGATTGGCACCCACAGTGACAAAAAGTACCATCTGTGCCCCTGTGGTCTTCAGTTTCCTGCCCAGGACTTTAGAATCCTTCACAATGCTTCCTTCTGGTGATATTGTATGTACCCACATGAATCACCAGCACTAGGTGGGAGTCAGTCATCGGGTTGGAGGAGACTTAGCAGGTTTTCTGTCTCCTCTGGGACCCCCACCCCCACCCCTGCTCCTGGAAGGCAGCCCCCTCAGTGCCTCTTTGATGGGAGTCATCAACCATCCCCATTCTCCTCCTCTTCCTCTGTTCTTTGCTGAGTGATCCATTCTCTGCCAACACCTACGTTTCCATAGCAAGATTCCTCGGCGAAGTGCTTTTTCTCTTCTCAGAGAGTAAAGCTCTCTCCATCTAGGAGAGCTTCATCTGAGTTAAACATATTTGGTATTATCTGAACTGGTTTAAAAAGATAGCAAGGCATCCTATTAGAATGCTGAGTCTAAAGTCAAGAGTCCTGGGTTCAAATCCCACCTCTGACATTTACTGCTTCTGTGTCCTTGAGCAGATAACTTCACCTCCCATGCCCCAGTTACCTCATCTCTAAGATGAAGGGGGTTGACCTCTGAGCTCTCTTCCATCTCCAGATAGATGATCCTGTGATCCCTGATTTCACCAGTGTTGATGCTTCTTCTTCCAACATAGACGGCGACCTCTTCTCATGAGTCCCTGCGGCCAGCACTGCTGGCCAGCTATCTGGCTTGTGCTTGGACCAGCCCATCACTGATAATGAGCACAGAGTCTTTCCATCTTGGTAGGACCTGGCAGAGCTTATGTTTTGCACGGGGTAGCCTTCAGGAACTCAGGGTCACTCCCACAACACCATTTATTCATTCAGCAGACCTTTATTAAGCACCAACTGTATGCAGAACACTATGCTGGGCAGAAGGGAGATGCAAAGTCTGCCCTTATGGAGCTTACACTCTAGCTAGGGAATAAGACCCCAATACAGATAGCTTCTTGTCTCTCCTTGAAAGTAGGAATTGTCTCATTCTTTGTATGTGTATGTGATCAGGGGTGTGCTGGTAAGTGTTTAACAACTGGCTCTATGGGAGGGAGAATAATAATAATAATAATAATGTTGTTGTTCAGTCTTTCTAGTCATGTCTGACTCTTCGTGACCCATTTAAGGTTTTCTTGGCAAAGATACTGGAGTGTTTTGCCATTTCCTTCTCCAGCTCATTTTACAGGTGAGGAAACTGAGGCCAACAGGGTGAAGTGACTGTCTGAGGCCATATTTGAATGCAGGTGTCCCTGACTACAAGCTCAGCACTCTACCCAATGAACCACCCAGCTGCAGGATACATTTTTAATGTAAATCTAATCTGCCATAGTAGCATTTTCTCCATCAATTTCCTAAGTCTAGACAATCAACAAAACAGGAAACCAAATCCTGATTTGTATCTCTGCTAATTTCTGAGACTCAAGTGCTCACACAGAAAATTTAACAATCAGCTCTCTCAAGCAGGTGCAAGCTGGCTTCAGCACACTCCTGGCTGTGATACACAATGGATGACTATATGAGGCATCTGTGATTTATCAGCATGGGGCACACCCTCCTCCAGGGCAGATCACAACTCACCCAGCACTTAGTAGAGCAGTTCCTTACATATAAACTCATTGTCTCCCCTGTTCTAACATAAGCTCTCTGAGAGTAGGAATTGTTTCATACTCTGTGTGTGTACCCCAGCATCCGGCCCAGTCCTTGGTCCATACTAGACACTTGATTGTTAAGTTTGAGGGCAATGCCTGAGGCCCGTAGAGGTCCAGGGACTTTTTAGGAGCAGGATTTGAACCCGTGTTTCTGTCTTCAAGTCCAACACGCCCATCCATCACACTTCTCTGTCTGTGTTCTCGGCATGGGGAAGGGAAAGAGGTTAGAATCTATGATTTCATTGGTTTAGGGGGACTCCTACTTAGTAAACTCTTCCCCTATTGGCAATTTTTCTGCAAATTATCACCTTAGAAACTTGCCTGGGGAATGGAGGAGTTAAGTGGCCTGCCCAGAATCATGTAGCCAGTATAGTATGTATCAGAAGAGGCACTTGGAGGGGCAGCTAGGTGGCACAGTAGATAGAGCACCGGCCCTGGAGCCAGGTGGACCTGAGTTCAAATCCAGCCTCAGACACTTACTAGATGAGTGACCCTGAATAAGACTCTTAACCCCAATTACCTCCAAAAAAAATGAAAGGGAAGAAGAAGAGGGATTCAGGACTTGGACCCAGGTCTGCCAGGTTCCTGGGTTCCTCCTTCTTAGGGTCCTAGGCTTCATTTTCCTCACTCTGATGCTGACTTTCTGTCTGTCTACACTGGGCTGTCTCTCTATACTAACTGGCCTTTATTATACTGCACAATGTTATACAAAAAGTATTTGACATCACGGCATACAACGTACTTAACTGAGGTGTGGGGGCTAGGGGGGAGAGCAAGAGAATTAGGCTCAGAAGAAGGGTGTGGGTGAATATTAATATTAGTAAGTAGCTTATATTCATCTCTTGTTGCTAGCTAGCAACTCAATAACCAAGCTGAGACTGACTTAGATCTACTGATTTCAGGTTGACAGCTGCCTGTTTGGTCCTCAGACCCAGCGTGGCTTTCCCATAGGGTAAGGAACTTCATATTAACACAGAATCATAGACTTGTTAGAGCTGGAAGGGACTTTAAAGATCATCTCCTCCAATGCCTTCATTTTTTTTTTAGACCAGACCTGTGATTTCATTGGTATAAGGAATTTCCTCTACCAATATAGGTTTGTACCTGCTTGGCAACTTATGATCTTAGATACCTTTACCTAGGGTATTGAGATGTTAAATGATTTGCTCAGGTCATCAGAAGGCCAGGATGTTTCAGAGGTAAGATTTGAACCCAGGCTTTCTTGGTCCAAGGATGGCTCTCAATCCACTGGGCAACACAGCCTCTCTCCCTCACGTTATAGAAATTAAAGCCCAGACAGGGGCTTTACAGAGGAGGGATTTGACCCCATGTCTTTTGGCCAGGGTTCTTTCTGTACATTATGCTGCCTCTTGACCTTAGAAAGGGCCTGAACAGAGGAATGGTGGAATTTTGCAAAGAGTTACTTTTGACTGTTGACAGAAAGCTCATGTGACTCACGAAAAAAGCCATCTTCTCCTTGGTGAGAGAGATTCCTACGCCCACAACTCAAATCATCTCTGATGGAAGCAAGCTGTGTGCGAGTCAGGCCAACATAGCCTCCAACGCACCCGCGGGAATTTTGCTTTGAAAAACCACATTATGAAATGGCATCTCAGTTTAAGGCTGAGTGTGCCAAGACGGGGCTGTGGGCTTCTGGAGCTAGCCCTGGTGCTGAGTTCACTGATGGTGAATCAACTTCAGGGAAAGAAAAGAATGTTTGTATTTGACGTGTGACATAACATGCTCATTTAAATCCACACAACATACCCCCATGCAGGAGGTCAGGAAGGTCTGGTAGAATAGGAGAGGGAAGGCTTGGGCCCAATCCTTAGCCCTTTCCACTATTAGTTATGTGACTTTGGGGAAGACACTTAATTTCATTGAGTCTCTTCTCTCCCTTCTCACCTCTTCCCTTTTTCTCTTCTTTCCTCTCAGGTTCCTTAGCCTTAGTTTCCTCATCTGTAAATAGGGATAATCATTCATAGAATTATAGATCTATGGCTTAAAAGTTCCTTAGAGGTCATCTAGTCCAACTCTCCTATTTTAGAGATGAAGAAACTGAGGCTCAGAGAGGTCACATCACTTTCCCAAGGTCACCCAGGGAGTAAGTAGTCAGGCCAGGATTTGAACCCATATCATCTGATTCCAAGTCTCTACAATGCAATATTTGCTGGGAAGGTATAGTAAGGATCAAGGTACGAAAACATCAGAAACCATGATCATGTCCTCCTTCACTTTGGTCCCTAGAGAGAGTAAACTCCAGTTTAAATGATTGCCACAAAATATCCCCTCCCCCCAAGCTTAATTCTAGGTGTGTTTTAGCCAATGGATGAATCACTCTCTTGCTTGCAGGACATAGTGTCTCAGCTACTGGCTGGGTTGTTTCACTGCTAGATTGAGGCAAACAGGTCACCCCTCAGGGATCCAGCCTATCCTGCTGTTACCAGCTTGTGACCAAAGGGGATCCCTGATGATTTTTCCAAACTTCCAAAGCTCACAAGGCCATAATCTGGTCTGTTCTATCACTGACACTCATTCACCTGAGGTTTGGAAAGACTGAAGCAAGAGATACTTTTGTTTCAGAGGAAACAAAAGTATCATCTGTTTATGGCCACATGGTGACTAGGGAGGGAGATAAGGCAGCTGTAACAACCAGCTGAGGCCACTATTGGTACTTCTCCCCCAACCTTGAGGTCTATAGTAATTTTTCTTCTTCCTTACTCAGAGATGTCATCTCTTCTAGACTTTTGTATGTCCCTTAGTTCAGGCTCAGCATCTTATTAAAAGATTTTTGTTGCCACACATTCAGCTGACAGGAAACAGGATGCCTGCAGTGATCTGAAGTGGGGAGGAAAAGGGTACCTCTGTCGTGAATTTCTGGAAACTGGCTCCCAAAGCTGTCACATGGATACATCTTATGCTTGCAGCACTAGGCTAGTACCCTCATTCTATGAAAGGCAGCCTGTTAACGATAGATTGGAAGCTCTGATGGGTAATGGACTAGGTATCTGTTGTCCAAGAGCCAGCCTAGCCAAGTGCTAAAAGGAGCTCATCGCCAGAGGGAGGGGTACCAGCTACAAGCACCCTCCAAAACAAAGGCAGGGAAGCTATGACCTTCCTTCCTTGGTAGAAGGTGCTCTTATCCCTGCTCCCTGCACTCACAAAGTCACAGATTCTTGAAGAATTGAAGTAAGTATCCCATTTAACAGATGAGAAAACTGAAGCCAAGAGGCAAGAAGTGACTTGACCATGGTCACATGTTAAGGGGCAAAACTGGGAGTGACACTCAGGTCTTCTAAATCTAAATGCAGGGCTTTTTTCTACAACAACACTGTCAGGTAATAACAAGGATCACTCATATTTCTGTAAAAATGTACAGTTTAGAAGATGCTTTCCTCGCAGCAGCCCCCTGCAATAGAACAAATTTTATTATACCCATTTTATAGAGGAGAAAATTGAGGGCCTGAGGAGAAGAGAGTTATCTATAGACCTACACCAAGGAAGTGCTAGGAGACTCTGGAAAACCTGTCAGGCTTATTACAAATTACTGCCCCTGAGATACTTGGTGTTGTCAACTGAATTGGCCTATTTGATAGGACTTTTAGTTGGGGCATGCATCCCTATGTACAAAATGTCATCTTCTATCTCCTTGCCCGTGCACAGCCAGGCTGCGTATCTCTCCCTCTTCAAACCTCTGACTCTCATCAAGACTTAGTTCAAGTGTAACTTCCTATAAATGGTTACTTAGTCAACCAGAATTTATTATAAATGCGTACTATGTGCTGAGCACTGCTCCAAATGTGGATGATGCGAAGAAAGATGAAAACATGGTTTTTGTCTTCAAGAAATTTATCTTCTAATGGGGCAGAAAGATGCAAACCACTATATATAATTTACACATGGACACACATATATATTTGTACATAGACACATATATTTGTAATATATACACGTATATATTTGTATGTGGACATATGTAGACACACATGCACAAACATATTTTTATATATTTGAATATAGACACATATATGTACAATATAGACATATATACAAAATATATCTTGTATGTACATATACACACATGATATTTACAGTGTAAATGGAAAGTGATCTCAGAAAGAAGGGACCAGCAATAAGGGGGGCCTGGAAAGGCTTCTACACAAGGTAGAATTTGAGTTGGGTCTTGAAGAAAGGCAATAGAAACTAAGAGGCAAAGTGTGGAAAGAGAGCCTTCAAGGTATTGTCTGGTCCGATCGGCCAGTGCAAAGGCTCGGAGATGGATTATCATGCTCAAGGAACTGCAAGTAGGCCACTGTACCTGAATCATAGATGACACAGAGAAAAGTAAAGGTGTAAGAAGGCTAACAAGATAGGAAAGAGCCAGGTTATAAAGAGCTTTAAATGCCAAATGGAGGATTTTCTATTTGATCCTGGAGAAAATAGGGAGCCGTTGTAGCTCATTAGGCAATGGAGGTGAGCTAGTCAGACCAACTCTTTAGAAAAGTCACCTGCTTTCCTCCCATGGTTAGTGCTCCCCTCCTGAAATTGTGTTTTTTTTTTCTTTAGATTTTATAAATATTTTGTATTTACTTACCTACGTAAGTGTTGTTCTCCCCACCCTACCCCCATTCCCACCAATAGAATGCGAGCTCTATGAGGGCAGACACTGCCTGGTTTTGGTATCCCACACACTGCCTAGAAGACACCAGGGGCTTAATAAATGCTTGTTGGAGTGGCAGAACCAGGACAAGTAGCTAGGTTTGCAGACTCTTCGTTCTGTGTTCTAAGCATGGGTTTCCAGGAGCTGCCCCACATGGGCCAGGGGTAGCAGACTCCTCTCCAGGTGATGTTGCTCTGTGGTCTCCTCTGTTGGACCCCATGCTTCTGTTTCTGGATCAGCAATGACTCTCTCCATTCCCCATGTGAACCCTTGTCCCTGTGGTTTTCCTCTAGGAATGTTCACTACACCCTGGGCCAGCATGGCCCGGAGCAGCGAGCAGTACTGCCTGGCCTGGGAATCTAAGTACCTGATGGAGCTTGGCAGCGCCCTGGAGACCCTGCTCAACAGCTTTGTGAACATGATGGCCCAAGAAGCCTTGAAATATACAATCTTGTCCGGTAAGACCCTCTACAATTCAGCCCTTGCACACCTCTCCAGCCAGATTCTAGCTAGAGAAGGCAGGGAGCCCAGAGATTAGAATTCCCAACCTAACTCTGCTGCTTACAATGGGTGTGACCTTGGAGGAGCTGGTGAACCACTCTGGGCCTTCTTTTCCCAATCAGTAAAGTGAAAGGTTAGACTCTAAGGTTGTTTCTAACCCTGATTTTGGCTTCTTTCTCTGACATTTGGTATCCTAAAGCAGGGCTTCTCTAACTTTTTCCACTCTTTTCAGCAACTTTGGTTGGTGTTGTGTGGCCTGAGGGCATGCACAGTGCAAAGTGAGCCTGCTTTGTGTTTTGGAGCCAAGGCTGCAGTGAAGTTACTACACTGACCAGCACTGCCAGAAACACCTCTTATTCATTACTCGTTTGATTTTTAATTCATTTTTGGTCATTGCGCATTCAGAAACTTTTTTACTATTGCCAAGTATTTTACAACCCCATATGCAACGCCAAAGTTCAGAAACTTTTTACTATTGCCAAATTTTTTGCAACCCCATATGGATTCGAGACCCACAGTTTAGGAAATGCTGTTCTAAAGAACCTTTCCTCTTTGATGTTCTGTGTTCTAAGGGCCCTTCCAGCTCTGACGTCTATGTTCTAAGGCAAGGTTTCTTAACCTAGGGATCACACACCCCCCCCCCACCAGGAGTCTGTCTTAGATTCCAGAGGGGAACTTGGATGGGGGCAAATTACATATTTATTTTTACTAACTTCTAACTTAAATTTAATATTCATTTCAATTATGAATTTCTTTTTAAAACACAATATGGAAAAGGGGTCCATGAAGAAAGGTTAAGAACCCCTGTCCTAGAGTCCCTCCCCACTCTGACATTCTGTGTTCTAAAGCCCCTTCCAACTCTAACAGTCTATTTTCTGAGACCCCACCCAGCTCTGACAGTCTGTGTTCTAAGGGTCCTCCCAGCTCTGACACTATGTTCTAAGATCCCTCCCAGCTCTAAGATTTTATGTTCTGTCTAATCCTTTTCTATTATTTCCTTCCTAACCTGCCCTTTCCTATTCATATTTGTTCCATACATAAAACCCAAGACTTTTAATCATTCAGACTTTTTTTTTCAAAGACTGAATCTCCCCCTCTCACCCAGGCTAGTATAGTAGCAACTCCTCGGCCCAATCCCACCACTGATGTCACAGGAGCTTTGACTTGCCCCATTTCTGACCAGTTCCCCTCTCCTTAGGCGACCTGGTAGCACCCCATTCCTAGGCTCTCACCTTATTATTGCCAAACTTAACACAGACACAATTTGCATAGCCCACTGCAGCTCAGAACGTCAGAGCCCAAGAGAGCTGCTAGTCTCAGACTTCCCAGGAGCTGGGCTTACAGGCGTTCACCGTCATGCCCTGTGTCCCTCTTTGATTGGGCAGAACTCAGTTCAGACTTAGAAGAGTGCCATCAACTTTACTGGCTGACCGTTTTCCCCCAAAGATTGCTTCGCATCCCTGATGTTTTCCCTATTTCTTCCAGGTATCTTGACAGCGTTGACTTGGCCATCTTCCCTCCTCGCCGTGGCCAATGTCATCGACAACCCCTGGGGGGTATGTCTTCGCCGGTCCGCAGAGGTTGGCAAACACCTGGCCCACGTACTGCTCAGCCGTCAGCAGGTAGCCAGAAACCTTCACGAACTGAAACTAGTTCTGTTGCTTTACAGATAGAGCAATAAGGAAGGGAAAAAGGGAAGGTTTGCCTGTGGACACAGCCCTTTTACATGAGGCTATCCCAGGGGTAGCAAGAGGGGACGCAAAGCCCTGTCATATCTTAGACTAATATTAGGAAGGAGCCAGCCTCAGTCACTCTAGGGAGGAAGGAGAGAAACAAGCATTTATTAAATGCCTACTGTGTGCCAGGCACTGTGATAAATGATTGACAATTATTATCTCATTTGATTCTCACAACAACCCTGGGGGATGGGTGCTATTATGATCCTTATTTTACAGGTAAGGAAACTGAGGCAGAGGTTAAGTGACTTACCCAGAGTCATGAACCCTGCAGCCACAAATTTAAATTCAGATTCAAATCAACAAGCATTTATTAAATGCCGAATACATAGAAAGCACTGTGTTCTAGGTGTGAAAATACGAAGACAAAAATAGAGGCCTTTGTTTGTGTGGTGATACGGGTACAGTAGAAAGAGGGCTGGATTTGGAAATAGAGTTGTGGGTTTTCTTGGCTCTCACTTTCCTCATCAGTAAAATGAGGATGTTGGACTGCATAATAGCTAGCATTTCAAGTCTTGCAAAGAGCATTTTATTATGTTATCTCATATTATCCATATATAAATTTGCATGTCTACATATAGGGAAATATCTATGTGTTATCTATATGTAGATATATAATATATGTCTATAGATATACCTAGATATATATGATTGATATATGTAATATGTATCATATATATGGTGTATCATGTATGTCATGTATGCTATATAATATATTATATATAATAATGTTATATATTATATATGATAGCACTATCTCATATATATAATTATAATATAATATCTCATTTTATGTTCAAAAGAGCCCTGGGAGGTAGTTGTTTGATAGCTTCCAAGGTCCCTGCTAGCTCTAAATCTGGGATCATGTGTTTCTCAAAGAGTTTACATGTTCTTGGGAGAGACAACATACACACACATATGATATATGTATATATACACATATGTATACATATATGTGATATACATGTGTTTATAATATACACTTATAATTATGGGCATCAAAAGGATAAGAAAGAAATGGAATGACAAGAGTAAAAACTTAAGGGGTGCAGAGCCCCCGAGGAGTTTGTGGCAGAGAAGGGGCAGGACAGATGAGGAGTGAATGGGAAAGTAGAATGTTTCTTAAAATGTAAAAGGATTGACAGATGCCAACAAAATGTGAAAATCCAGAGAAAATAGACATGATCCAGAGATCATTGAAGAGCTTCTTGATTTCCAAAAGGCTTGTTGAGGAAAAGATGGAAGGAATAGAAAATCTTTATCCAGGAGTGAAGTGGATGAGAGCCAGTCAACAAAGAAAAAAAAGTTCACTGATGAACCAAGAGGCTTGGCCCAATGTCCAGATCCAGGTCTAGGTTCCAGAGGGAAGAAGGGATGCTGCAGACAGCAGGGGAGAATTGACTTTTCTCATGAAGTGGAAAGATTCCAATGGGGCCAATTCAGTGCTAACAAAAGGATCAAATGTGAAGTGTCCTCAGATAGGCATAGCTTCTTATAAAGACAACTCACCTGGTACTCCTCACCATCTAGAAGCTGAAGCAAAATAGTTTCCATTGCTTTTGTAGACATAATGTACATATACATACATACCATAAACATGCAGATACATGTGTATGTATATATATTTTTATGCATTCACATACATGCAGTTATGTGCCTATAATTATATATACATGTGCACAAAGGTGTACCTTAATACATATGCTTATATACATATATATGTATATATATAATCAAACATATTTAATAAACTCTGAATCTCATTTATATTCTTTGGTTTAATAGTCATGTGAGGAGCCACCTACATTCTGTGAGAGCAGAGTGAAATGAGTTTTTTGAGTTTTTCTTTTGTTTGAATTGGTTTGAGATTTAGAGTTTAATTTTGTTTTTTTTGCATAGGCAACACTTGCAGATTTGAACAAGCAACTACGAGTTTTCTGCATTGACTTTATCGCAGAAAAGAGCATTTGATGCTAAGGAACAATTAACTTCCTCCACACTCAAGAAAAACTTTTACAAATATTTATTAATACCATTCGCATTATTCTGAATCCTAACAAATAAATGTTTAACCCATGTATGCCCAAGTTTACCTAAGAGAATTATCAGTCTAGGTAGAATTTTGACATTCTCTTGAAACCCAATTTGTTAATAGAAGTTACGTTTTGTAATTAGAGGTCAATCTACTAAACTTGCTTCTGGCACCTTGGGCAGCTAGGTGGCACACTGGATGGAGCCTTGGACCTGGAGTCTGGAAGTCCTTGGTTTAAAGTTGGCCTCAGCTACTTCCTAGCTGTGTGACCTGGGCAAGTCACTTCACCTCCGTCTGCCTTAATTTCCTCATCTGTGCAATGGGGATAATAATAACACCTACTTACCAGGGTTATTGTGAGGATCAAATGACATAGTATTTGTAAAGTGCTTTGCCAACCTTAAAGAGATATATAAATGCTAGCTATCATTATTGTTATTGTTATTATTATTATTATTATCATAACTGATTATTATTATTTGGTTCTGGTGAGTCTAGGAATCAGTTCCTCCTAAACCACAGAAGTTTTTTTGTCTCCAAGTATCCAAACACTGATTGTTGTTCTTTGTTTTTGAGGAACACTAAAATGACATCACTATGTCAGAGTCAAGGTACAGTGTGTCCAACTGTGGCTGGTCAGACCAATATGAGCTCGGAAGAATCTATCACAGGATGGGCATAAGTAGTCCACATGAACATTTGGGGTGGAGATGTCTCTAAGTTTGCATATCTCATGTTTCTTTTGAGCTACTGCAATTCTGCTTTGCTCATAGAGTTCGGTGCCTTCTTTGATATGGACATGCCATGCTGGGTAACCCTGTGCCAGTGTTTCCCATGTCTCAGAATCAATTCCAGAGCTCTTCAGAGAGACTTTGAGAGTTTCCTTGTATCTATTGCTTCTTCTGACCTCCATGTGAGAGCTTGCCTTGTGTGAGTTCTCCTTAAATAGTCTTTTAGGCAAGCATACATTTGGCATTTGAATGACGTGGCCAGCCCGTTGGATTTGCACTCTCTGTAGTCCAAACACTAACCACTTAGGAACAGATCAGATTTTTAAACCTTTCTGGATGGGGTAGAGATGAATGAAGAGGTATTCTAAGAATGTCCTGCATCTGTTAAGGTGGTGATGTGCACCTTCCCTATGGACCCAAAGGGGGCCCTGCATTGACACAGGATGTGAAAATAACTGCAGATTTCTACAAGAGGGATCTAAGAAAAATAAATTTTCTCTCCAAATCCTTATCAATGGTAATGCAGATGGACAGAGGGTGGAAAACAATCACTTTCTGCCATTTATTGTAAAAGGGGATAAAAATGTTAGCTAGCTTGTTTGCATAATCCCAGAGACCAAACTCTCACTTGATGATGTTACCAGTCTGAAAATTTTCAATCCTAGGTTGGAAACATGGGTAAATGCTGCCAAAACTTGTTTTAAAAGGAAAAAAAAGCTTAAAAGCAGAATCATTTTTGCCTTGATTTTCAAAGAGAAAAACTTAGACTTCCTGATTTGCAAAGTAGAGGTGTCCCATCTTATTTTACTAACCAAAAGGTCTTCCCTTAATCATAGAGGTTTTTCTTGAATGCAGAGAAGTTAATAGTTCCTTAGTATCAAGTGCTTATTTCAGTGATAAAGTCAATGCAGAAAGCTTATAATTGCTTGTTCAAAGCTACAAGTGTCGCTGATGCAAAAAACAAACAACATCCCCATCTGCTGGAACCTTAATATTCTTCCAATAAGAGTAGATATTTGACAGGCTTGAATTTTTATCACTATGGGCGTAAGTAGGCAAGCCAACTTACCAGTATTTTGTAGTCTTCTATATTAATGACACGAATGTTTCTCTTTCTTTATCCCAACCCATCCCTTAAATACATAGGACCAGCCTTTTTATTATTTGGGTTCCTTGGTTCCATAGAACTTAGGCAAAAATAAATTTTAGTCATTGGAATGTTATACAACCATATATTGCTTACTTTATTGTAAATACTAGAGAACAATGGTCAATAAATAGTTTTATGGTCTTCTTTTTGCAAACCATGAAGGGGCCACAGAACTGGAGAAAGACAAATATCCCAATGTTCAAAAAAAATAAAAAGAAGGAAGAAAAATCTGTGAACTACAGGCTAGTGAGCTGGCTTTGATTGATGAGGAAATTTTAGACTGAATCATGGAAAAGATGGTTAGTGAGCATCCAGAAAGGGAAACAGTGATTATAAAGAGCCAACATGGCTTCATAAAGAGCAAGTCATGATACTACACTAACCTCATTTCTTTTTTTAACAGGGTTACTAAACTGATAGATGGGAGAAATATTGTAGATATGGATAACTTAGGTTTTAACAAAGGATTTGATAAAGTATCAGTTCAGAACTGGTTAAGTGACCAGACTCAAAAGTAGTTAATTGTTAGTGGTTCATCATAGGCTTAGTAGAGGAGTTCATCAGTTGAGAGCGTCAGGGTCTGTGCTTGGCTGAAAGCTAGCCAACATTTTTATCAGTGACTCAAATAAAGGCTCATCAAATTTAAAGATGGAAGGGATAGTTAGCACAGAGGAAGATAGAATAAATATTTAAAAATTCTTAACACAAGATGGCACTGGGCCAAATCTAATAAGAAGAAATTCAGTAGAGATAAGTGTAAAATCTTCTACTTGAGTTCAGAAAATCAGCTTTAGAAATAGAGGAATAAGTATTTTGTCAGAAAATCCTCTGAAGATTTTAGTGGTCTGTAATTTCATTATGGGGCAGCTAGGTGGCGCCATAGATAGAGCGCTGGCCCTGGATTCTGGATCCTCTTCCTAGTTCAAATCTGGCCTCGGACACTTACTAGCTATGTGACCCCAAGCAAGTCACTTAACCCTGTTTGCCTCAGTTCCCTCGTCTGTAAAATGAGTTGCAGAAGGAAATGGCAAACCACATCATTATCTTTGCCAAGAAAACCCCAAATGGGGTCACGACTGAAAAACTACAGTACACATAACTTCAATATGAGTCAACAGTGTATTGTGGTAGCCAGAAATGTGTGGACCACATTAAGAGCAGCATAATTTCCAGAATAGGGAAGTAATTTAAGAAAGATATTCATGAACTGGAGAGTATTCAGAAAAGCACAATTCATTAAAGAAATTTAGTCTGGAGACTAAATTTAGTCTGGGACAGAGGACACTCTGGGGGATGGGATAACTGTCTTCAAAACTTTGAAGGGCTGTCATGGAAAAGAAGGAGTAGATTTGTTCTCTTTGGTTCCAGACAGCAAAACCAACAACAGTGGGTAGATGTTACAAAAATGTAGATATATTAGGGAAAACTTCATACCAATTAGAGCAATCCAAAAGTAGAATGGCCTTCCTGGAGAAGTGATGAGGTGCTCCCTGTTGGATGTCTTTAGTCCGGCTTCCACATTCTACATTCTAAAGCATCTTCCATGTCCAGGATTCTGTGTTCTAAGTGGTTCCTTCTAACTATGATTTCCATGTTCTAACATCTCTTCAAAATTCAAAAGTCTTATGTTCTAAACTCTCTATCAGATCCAACATTCTTTGATTATATTCTAACCCGTGATCTTCATCTGTTCCTTTAAGGGTAGACGACCTGTCACTTTGATTGGCTTCAGCCTGGGAGCAAGAGTCATTTACTTCTGTTTGCAAGAGATGGCTCAGGAGAAAGGTGAGTCTCATTCAGCTGAATGCAAATGGATGATAACCAAAGCCCCCCCCCCCAAAACAATCCAGGAAGGGACTCTCTTCTTTGCTGGCACATCAGGACCCACATAGGAAGAAAAAAGAGACTGACACTCCTTTACTTATAGCAGGGCTGGCAACCTTTCAGCGTGCATACCAAGTTGCCGCACCAATCTAAGTTGGAATTTTGGAGTGGCATCTCCAGTTCTTGAAAGCTGGAAGTTCAGATGGAGGCTGATAAAGGCTTAACTCTTCTGAGTAGAGTTGGAGGTACCAAATCTCATCGGGTAAATGATGACTTCACATACTCTCCCAAAGTTGTAGAGGCTGTGAATTGTGATTCTTATGATATTAGAAGTTGGGATGAAGGAACACAGCTGGGGCTGTGGATCAAAGGTGAGCTTCAAAAGCAGCGTGTGTACCCAAATCACAGAAGAATAGGTCTTTAAATTAGATTTGTTATGTATGAAGTGCTAGCGTACACTTGTCAAACTAATTCTTTTTTTGTGAGATTAAGTGAAGTATATGGAACAGTGTTGGAATAAATAGTTGGTATGGTTTCAAGAAACTTGCAGCAGCCATTGTGGTGGTTTAATGTGGTATTTCTATTATTTTCTGCTTGTTTAAAATGGCACTAGCTGCTGATCACCTTGGGAATACAGTCATATGCTCATGTGGCATGCTTCTGTTTCCCCCTGGTAACTTCACATAGTCCTTTGTTAATCTAGAGACAGGATGCAGAGTATACCCAAGAAGGAATCTGGACCATGATGCCTTAGAAATTGGACTGAGAGTCATGTATCTGAGCTCTGGTGATTGAGCTCAAGCCCCTATCACCTGGAAAGATTGCTCAATGATGAGCATCGAACATAACACATGAGTGTGGAGCGAGTAAATAATAGCAGCCTATGGTCCATATGGAGTACAGATGGACCCATTCTTGGAATTTATGCTATGAGTCCCACCCTGGTCTTAGGGCATAGGGCACCTGGGGAATGCAAGCATGGGGTATCTTATGGCATGATACTAGTATTGAAGGACTTAGCCATCAGCAACTAATGCTGCCCATGTCATATCCCACCTAAAACAATATTTTTTATAATTATAAACTTAACCATCAATAATCAACAGAAGCATTTCGGAAAAGCAAAATAGGAGGATTGTATATGAAACTATAAACTTTGGTTACGTAAGGTTTTTTAAGTATGTATTAAATTTAACACAGTAGTAACAAAATGGCTTTGCTCACATCCCCTTCAGAAATCTTTTTGTTTTCTTCTGTGTATTTTTAAATATCTTATTGATGTTCTTTTAATCTTTTTGCATCTCTTTCATATCCCACTAACTCACGCCTCCATCCAAACAAAATAATAGCTATTTACATTATTTATCAAATAATGTAATAATTAATGTAAATAAATAATAAGCATTTATTAAATAACCCTTTACATATGTTATCTTATTTTATCCTCCTAACAGTTCTGGAAGGTAGGTGCTATTATTATCCCCATTTTACTGATGAGGAAACTAAGGCCAAGAAAAGTTTAGTGACTGGCCCAGGGTCACACAGCTAGTAAGTGTCTGAGGCAGGATTCAAATTCACTTCTTCCCGATTCCAAGCTCAGTATTGTAGGCACTGGGCTAGTTAGCTGCCCTCCATTATAACAAATGACTGGAATCATGCAGAGCAAATGACAAAGCTTTTGACCATCGGATTTGAAAATGCATGTCTCATTCTCCACCTTTAGTCTATCACTTTCCTTCTAATATGTGGGTAAAATGTTTCATCCTCAATCTTCTGAAGTCATGATGAATCACTGCCTTGCTCAAAGCTGCACAGTCTTTCAAAGTTGTATTTTTAGTAATTTTGTGGTATTTGCATTATGGTAATCCTGTAAATTGTTCTCCTGATTCTACTCATTTCACTCTACATTCATTCGTTTCTCCCGGTTATCATACTCCTGATTTCTCACAGCATAATAACATTCCTTTATATCTATATACCATGATGTGTTTAACCATTCCCCAACTGATGGGCACTGGCTTTGTTTCCAGTTCTTTGCTATAGTAAAAAGGGCTGCTATAAAATTCTGTGAATAGGTCCTTTCCTCCTATCTTTGGGAAGAGGTATGCACAGTTGAGTGACTTGTTGGCCATAGTTCCAAATTGTTTTCTAGAATAACTGAACCAATTCACAGCTCCACCAACAATGTATTAGTGTGCTTGTCTTCCACTCACAGTCCCTCCTAGCAATTTCCATTTTCCTTTTTTGTTATCTTTGCCCATCTCATGGGTGTGTAAAGTTTCAGAGTTGTTTTAATGAATAATTAGAAAAGAACTCTAGTTATTAATGATTCTCATATGTTTATTGATAGCATGAATTTCTTCCTTTGAAAACTGCCTGTTTGCTACCCTTTAACCACTTATCTCCTAGGATATATTTGTATCAATTTCCCTAATTATTATAAATATCAACTATTAATAGCTCACATTTATACAGCACTTTGAGCTTTGTAAAATTCTTTATGAACATTATATCATTCAATGTTCATATTAACTATAAGGGCACAAGTGCTAATATCACCATTTAACAAATGAGGAAACTGAGGCTTAGAGCTAACATTAAATAACATTACAACATAACATTAAATAACTAAGATTTCTATAGTACCTTAAGGTTTTCAAAATGCCTTACAAATGTCTAATTTGATCCTTACAACAACCCTGGGAGGCAGTACTATTATTATCCCTGTTTTGCAGATGAGGAAACGGAAGCAGAGGTTAAGTGATTTGCTCAGGGTCCCATATAGTGCCACAGGTGGGATTTTAACCCAGATTCCCCTGACCCCAAGTCCAATCCTCTCCTTATTACACATGCCAGTGATTAAACAAAGCTAGGCAATCACCATCTGTGGGGAAAGAATGTACCTCAGTTTCCTCATTTATAAAATCGAGATAATAGTAGCACCTACATCTCAAGATTGTTGTGAGAGTAAAATGAGATAGTATTTGAAAAGTGCTTTGCGAGCCTTAAAGTGCTACAGAAGTGCTAACTATTATTATTAGCTGGGATTTCTGACTCTAAATCTAACAGTTCACTGCACTGCCAGATCATTAAAAGAGGGAGAAATCTCTCTAGCCGCTGGAATAAGCCAGGAAGGCTTTCTGTCATCTCTATAGAGTCAATTCCATTCAACACAGTTATTCGGGACCTATCTGGAAGCAGGTAGGTGGCACAGTGGGCCTGGAGTCAGGAAGACCTAAGTTCAAAGACCTCGGACATTTACTAGCTATGTGACCCTGGGCAAGTCACTCAACCCCAATTGGCTAAAAAAAAAAAAAAAACCTCACTCTTCAATGTTGTCTGTTTTTATTCTCTGCTTCTTCCTGCGGGTGACAGACTGACACGGCCCTGGGTCATGACTCCTCTGACTCCTGACTGCTCAGGGCAGTGGGGACCCACGTAAGCTTCCTGAGCCGGGGAATGACCTAGTCGGAACTGTTCTTTAAAAATATCTTCGGGGCAGCTGTTTGGAGGATAGATTGGAGGCAGGAGAACTAATTAGATAACTATTGCAGGAGTCAAGGTAAGGTGTATTGTGGCCAATTAAGTAAAGATAAATAAAACGGCACAAGGTCCCCTGAAGGTAGAATCAACAGAATTTGGGCGATTGATTGGATGGGTACTGGGCATGGAAGGAAAAGGAAGGTGCTGGTGACTCCAGGATTGGGAACCTGAGTGACTGAAAGGATGTGGTGTCCTTGGTGGAAATCGGGAAGTTAGGAAGAGGGGTGGGAAGAGGGGAGAAAGATCAAGAGGTTCATTTTGAATTTGTTGATCATGTAGTCAGTCAACTAGCATATGTGCCAGACCAGATTTGGTGCCAAGCACTGAATCATGTACACACTCGAGTATAGTAGTGCAAGTATTATTATCTTCATTTTTGTTGGTTTTAACTTGTTTTTCAGTCATGTCCAACTCTCTGTGACCCTATTTGAAGTTTTCTTGGCCAAGATATTGGAGTGGTTTGCTCTTTCCTTCTCCAGCTTATTTTACCGATGAGGAAACTGAGTGAAACAGGGTGACGTGACTTAACCAGGATCCCACAGCTAGTAAATGTCTGAGGCCGGATTTGAACTCAGGAAGACTCATCTTCCTGATTCCAAGCCCAGTGCTCTATCCACTATGGCGCCACCTAGCTGCCCTATTTTAGATTTACAGAGGAGGAAATAGAGGCCTGGAGAGGGAAAATTACTTACCTAAGGTCATACATCTAGCTAGTGGCAGAAGTGTGGGAGAAGAACCCAGACCTTCCAGGTCCTTATATCCTAAACTCTTTCAATCCCATCAGCCATCTGACTATACTGCCTTTTTTTTCTCTAATCCTGTGATTTCATTGGTGTATAGAACTCCCTCATGAGGAAATTCCCTTTACTAATGCAGAATAACAAATCTTCTTTAACATAATAGTCTTCCTTCCTACCTCTCGGACCGCTCCTTCTCTGTCTCCTCTGCTGGATCTTCATCCAGGCCCCCCCCATAACTTTGGGTGTCCACCAAGGCTCTGTCCTAGACTCTCTTTTCTTCTCATAATCTCTCATTTGATGACCTCATCAGTTTTTATATGTTTAATTATCATCTCTATGCAGATGATCTATCCCAGATATAGCACTAGAATTCTCTTTCCCCTCCTGAGTTCCAGTCTTGAATTACCAATTGCCTCTTTGGACATCTTGACCTGGATGCCCCGTGGGCATCTCAGATTCAACAAGCCAGAACAGAACTCATCATCTTCCCCCTAAAAGTTATCACTCTTCCAAACTTCCCTGTAATTGTCAACAGCACTGCCATCTTTCCAGTCATCCGTCCTCAACTCCCCACTCTCACTCCTCCTGACTGTCCACTCATTTACCACATCTTGATGTTTCTGCCTCCATGACATCTCTCACACCCATTTGCTTCTCTCCACTCATACAACCCCGACC